GCCCAATAGACTAACCAGGCTTCGTAGCCCGACTTTACAGTCGTCCGTATGGCAGGAATACACTCTGTTATGCTGCTGGAGCGGGTGGAGGGATACAAGTCCCACGCGCCCTGTGCCGTCTCCTGATCATGTATTCAATCGCTCAGGGACCTCTCGCAGCGGCAATGGAGAGGGAAGCTCTGTGCCATCGAGCAGGACGGAATGAGGGGCGACAGATGTGCGCACGCATATCTGGCCCGCATAGGCAGACAGCGCAAAAAGCCGCAATATATGACGGCACACGAGCTCGTGTACTTATGTGCCGGCCCTATAGACTGGCCAGGCTTCGCAGTCGCGCGCAGGCAGGAACGCACGGGAGGACTGGATATTACGGAATGCACTGAAGATACACTCACCCATATCGCAACAGCGGCGGGTCCCGCATCTCGTCTGGCGTGCTCATGCAGCGACGGCGCTGCGGGCGCGGCGAGCACCGGGAGCGCGGGCGCGAGTGCGAGCAGCGCGAGAGCACATCTCGCGGCCTGGCAGCGCGGGCACCACCGTGCGGGCGCATTCGACATGGCCGGCGAGGGAAAGCAGGAGCAGAGACGGCAGGGAGCCTGGGGCAGCGTGAGTGTGAGTATGAGCCAGCGTAGGGAGCGCGCTAGGCTGGGAAGACGCGCGATTCGCGAGCAGCTGCCTGATATGTGCCGCTGGCGCAGGCTGCTGGAGATAGAGGCGAGCGCGGCGGAGTGTCTAGAAGACGATGATAAGAGTACAGTGGTAGAGCACCGCGGCGGAGTAGGAGTACAGGGTCGGAAACAGGTTTCCGTGCGACCCGGGGACAGGAGGTCCCGCTTTATGGGAGGCCCGTGGACCAGGCGCCCATTGGAGAAGATGCATCCGGACCTGCCCCGCCCTCAATTCCACCACTGAGGACACTCAGGTACTACTACTCATTCGCAGCGCTGAACGCCGTACTCGAAGCACTCGACACTGTAGTCAACAGCCTTTCCTGCTGCCCATCCTGGCCCAAGAGTGTGATCACGGCACGCGCCCTCGGCGTCGGCCGGCCGCGCAGCAGGCAATTTGTCAGGCACCACGGCAGACATTACACAAAAGTGGAAAACATCTCAGCACACCCCACAGTGATGCGTGGCGCACGAATGGCGTCGACTGTCCCGCGTCCCAGTATAGCCGGTTTCACGAAAAATGTCGCCACAAACAAATTCTCGTTGAGCGACCTCCCACTGAGAACGGATTTCTCGACAAATACTGAGCGTATCGTCTTCGTTTCTGCTGCGTTAGCGTCGCCTCGTCGCTGCGCATGTCCTGGTGCCAAAAGCACCATGAATTTCCAACATTGAAATTTCAACATCTTCGGCACCCCTCTGAAGTAGAATTGTTCCTGCTCGCGAACACGACATTGGAGACTTGTAGGATGGGTATTCCTGGAGATACTGTACCTCCCCGGGTAGTCGGCAGACCCCCCAAGTCGGCAATGTTATAGTATCTCCCTCCACAGTACTCGATCACCTTCGTGCTTTTGTATTGACATAGTACTTCGTATGCCTGCTTTCATTTCCAGCTTGAACGAAAGCGAACGGTGCAGTAGTTCTGGAGTCCCTTTCTGAGGACCAGCTCAAGCCGTTGTCACGCTGGTGTACGCCTCGGTTGTAACAGCTTGTGTCGGAGTTTCATTTTCCGATCACATCAGCGACCTCATTGTATGCTTCGAGCTACCTGCCCTTAGAATCCTCCAGCGTTGGCTAAGCGGACCTTGAAATATTACGCGTGATGGATCGTGATGAATGTGTTACTTTTACGTGACTGCCGACTTGGGGGGTCTGCCGACTACCTGGGGAGGCACAGTAGATGGGTGCTATAGAGGGTGTGGTGGAGCTGCGGTGTGTTTCTAAAATATGCCTCCTTTCTTATGTCTGGGTTTCGCTATGATCCTAGCCGTGTTCATATAATGATGGAATTACTTTGTCTCATCTCATTATGGTGCTGAAGACATCTTCCATTCACAACTAAACCTTTCATAAGTGTTGCCCATAGCATGGACTCTTGTTTTCTTTCCCTCCCTTGCGCTAGCTCTGCCAGTCATTCTCATGCTTCTTCCTACTTCGCCACTCCATAACTTACTGTCTACATCATGTGTAATGTAGAGCTCATTCTCAATATCTTTTTAAAGATGATACCAAGCGCTTGTAGTTGCAAGCACACTAGCCACTGTGTGGTATGTCATCTATATTCAATCATACCTAGGGAGACTAGGGACATGCAATAGCGATGGAATGGATGGTACAGGGGTTCCGGAGGGGCACGACGGCAGAATATACCCCATAGAAACAAATAAAAGGATGTTGTTTGAGATGTGCAAAGGAGCAACGAAGGGCACGACAATCGCGCCCGAGAATGTGAACAACGCAAAGTAGAGCAACTGTGAATGACATACCACTAGCATACCACACCCTCTATAGCACCCACCTATCTCCAGGGATACCAATCCTACAAGTCTCCGATGTCGTGTTCGCGAGCAGGAACAATTCTACTTCAGAGGGGTGCCGAAGATGTTGAAATTTCAATGTTGGAAATTCATGGTGCTTTTGGCACCAGGACATGCGCAGCGACGAGGCGACTCTAACGCAGCAGAAACGAAGACGATACGCTCAGTATTTGTCGAGAAATCCGTTCTTAGTGGGAGGTCGCTCAACGAGAATTTGTTTGTGTTGGACGCGCGCGACATCTTTCGTGAAATCGGCTGTGATAGTCTGACCAGGTAAGAACGCGGACCAGGATCCTCGCACGTCGCTGCCCGCCAATTGACGGGGTCAGATTCTCGCGGTCGCACCGTCCGAGTGAAATTCAGACCATTCAGAACCCCATAATGCGCCAACAACACACGGCCTGTCACGGGAGCCCCCGGAGAGACATCGGTTTCAGCGGTATTTCATGTATTGCTCTCTCCGCCATTATTGTACTTCACCAGGTCCTCGAAGCGCACCAGCGTCCCACCAAATATGTCCAACGAGCTGCGGAGCGACGCCTCAGCGAACGTCTGCCTACGAGACGCGAAAAGCGCGCGCGCCGCTCACCTGCCATACGTCAGATCGACTCTGCCGCCCGAGAGCGCGTCGACCGTCCGCAAATCGTCGACGCCTAGTGTAGAATGCGTGAGTACATGCGTGTCCTGCGCAATACTGTGGACAGGGACAGGAGCCACACTCTTTGCGCCGCCCGCGTACGTCGTCGGTATCGCCGCCCACTCGCCGAGTCCTGCCAGCCCGTGCGCCCGTGGTGAGTCAACGCAGACATGTCACAAATGCGCCCCAGACGCACTTTGCACGAGCTCCTCGTCGATGCCCTGACAAAGCCCTTCTACATCGGCAGCGTGGACCAGGAATTCGCTGTCCGAAGCGGTCGGCGGGGGTGCGCGGGAAGACACGCGGGGCCGCTCACCTGCAGTATTCCGCGAGCAGGTCGAGTGATTCTACGGACAAGGACGGGTCGAGCTGCAACGCAGACTGCGTTCAAGACAGCACGCCCACACACCTTGGTTGACCTCCATGTCCGTGACCGTCTGCCACCTGTCCATCGCGACGAACCACTTGTCTTCCCGCCGGCGACAGCTACCCCGCGCTGGCCTCAGCACCTTGTTACATTCCACATCGCAGCGCTGCAGCACGCACCTGACATCCACCACCAGCCGGTTCTTGCCGACCAGCGCCGCGAGTCGCTGCAGGCGCGCGAGCGAGAAGCGGGCGTCGGGGAAGAGGAAGGACGTCACGATCACCTTGCTCGCGCCCGCGTCGAGCCACTCTCGCGCGTTCGCGTCGGTGATGCCCCCGCCGAGCTGCAGGTGCCCTGCGCGGCGCGGCATCGGCATCGGATTTGAGCCGTGCGGCAGATGGCTATGGGCAGGTACACGCACCTGGCCAGGCGGCGAGTGCCTCCCGCGCTGCGCTGTCGTTCCCGGGGCCGAGCTTGATGATGTGCCCTCCTTCGAGGTTATGCGTGCGGTAGAGCGACGCGTAGTAGCTGGACGGGTGGCTGCGTCGGTCGCGGTGTAAGCGTGCGCACAAATAAACGCAGTGGTTGAGACCGCAGATAAGAGCGAGCAGCCGCACAGCGTGAACAACGGGGACGACCCGCGCGTTGCCTCCGTGCACCACGCTACCGACCAGTACAGGGGCATGTAGATACGAAGCAGCGGCTCGCGCCGCGATTGGGCAGCTGAAACTTTGGATGGCTTGCTTGTATAATGCTCACCTTGCGACGAAATTGGTGCGCAGGGTGCTCGGGTCGGCTTCTGAGAGGGTTCCGCCCACGATCTGCTTCACCTGGCCATTGTGCAAGTCAATGCATGGCCTGAAGAGAGCCCTTGTGCGTTTTTGGGCAGGCATGCGTCTGAAAGAAGCAAAATCGAGGTTGCAGCAAGGTGGACCGCGGGCGGGCGTCGATGGCGCGGCGATCGAGTCACTTCAAGCGAGCGCGGTTGTTCTTCTTTCAGCACAGCCAGATGACAGAGTTCTGTCGACACGAAAGGGAAGAAAAAAGCAAAAGACAGATCTCATGCAGGATAAAATGGAATCCGCGTAGTATTAGTAGACGGTGGTTCGTGGGGGTCGAGGCGGGAGCGGCGAGAGAGTTGGGCAGGTGGCAACATGCGGGCCCAGCCACCACCATTTGCAACCATCTCTCTCCCATCTCGACACCCCCCTCCTCGCCCGTCCGCCCGTCAGATCCGCACAGCTCGCTGCAACCTGCGAACGACCGACTCATACGACGGCGGCTATCGATTGTGGGGAGCTGGGAATGGCGGGGCGGGCGTGGGCGATAGATGGCGGTGAAAGCGGTGCAGGCTGGGCGAGCAGAGGCGACAGAGGGGCACGGTGTGAGCGAGCGTCATGTACAACGAGCACGGCAAGCTGGTCCGCCTTGTTCTGGTCTGAGGCACGGTCACGATGATGGCCGTTGAGAAGAATGAGAGTGCAGCATTTGGAAAGCAGGGCCCCTGCAGCGGCGCGGCCACTGCTCCCTCTCTTGACCACAACCACCATCACGCCCTCCCCTGCCGCACCCATACTCGACCCCCGCGCCCCACGATGACGGGCAAGGCGCCCCCGCGGGCCCCTCGAGCCCTCCTGAACACGTTTGCGGCCTCGGCAGCCGCGCCGTTGTCTGCCGCCTCGACATCGACCGCGCCGTCCACGTCGGCGGGCGCGCGGCTCGGCGCGACGCCACCCACGGGCCCCCGCAGCCTCACGAGCGGCGTGAGCGGGCACTACGCCCACGGCGTACCAAAGGGCGCGCGCGCAAAACTGTACGCGAATGGGCACGTCCACGCGGCAATCCCCACCGGGCCCGCGGCGGGGCCCAGCGCGCCAGCACCGCCCACGGGCCCCCGAAGTGCGCTGAAGGGGAAGCAGGTCGAGAGTTTGTGGGGCGCAGGAGCTGGCGGCGGCAGCGCGAGCGCATCTGCCGTAGGTGATTATCTGCGTCTGCCCGCCCAGCGCGCTCACACCGCCTCTGAATGCCAGTCACAGCTCCCCCAGACGAACGGCGCGGGCCCCAGCAGGGTCCCTGCTGAGCCCACTGGCCTTGCACAGCGCACGCAACCCGTGAAATTTCAATTAAGACCCCCACCGCCACAACCGAAGACTGAGCCCCCGCCGCCACCGCCGCCAAGCAGTACGCCCCCGCCTGCTCCTCCTCCGCCGTCGAGTGAGCCTCCGCCTCCGCCCCCACCGCCTGGCGAACCTCCAGGACCGCCTCCCCCGCCGGACGAGCCTCCAGGTGCGCCGCCTCCACCACCTTTTTCAGCGCCTCCGCCTCCTCCGCCGCCTCCCATTGAACCACCGCCTCCCCCGCCGCCAACAAGTGTACCCCCGCGTCTACCACCAATAGCTCCTCGAAATCACTATTCCTACACTCAACCTCTGCCGCCCCCTGCTGAGCCTACCGTGCAACCCCCGCCTTTGCCGGCGGGCCCCCGAATACCACCGTACGAAGCGAGACCGCCGACTGAGCCCCCTCCACCAGCGCCAGCACCTCCAGAACCACAAGCCCCGCCGCCGCTGCCATCGTGGCCGCCAGATCCTGCAGACCTATCGGGAGAGAGGAGCTATAAAGTCATCTACGACTATACTATCGATCGGGATCGCGATGGCTCGCTCCGCATGCTCGCGGAGAAGTTGCGCGCGCTTGGGAAGGACGAGCGTGTGCAGGGGAAGGGAAAAGGGCGGGAAGTGTTGCTGAGGTATGAGGGCGAGGTCATAGAGGGCGAGCACCCTGCCGTGGTCAGGGATCCGCGAAAGGAGAGCAAGGTGAAGCGGGCGGTGTGTCTGCGGCCAGGGAGATCGGAGTTGTTGCCGTTGAAGTACGAGGTGCGTGGCAATTTCTTGCTGATTGATTGTCTGCTCACAGGAAACGGCGCGGCAACCAGCACGATGAGAACGCAATGGGTCCACCACCGCCGACGGCCATACTTGTGCTGAATCTGTCGCCGCTCACGCCCAACTCGTACATTCGACGGTGTTTCTCCGCACATGGAACGATCACCTCCTTCGAGCCGCAGATTGACAAGGCGACAGGCGGCGCACTCGGGATAGTGTTCATCCGCTATAGCACTCACGAGGAGGCACGCAAGTGCGCCGAGCGTGAAAACGGGAAGAAACTATCGACGGGCGCGGGGGTCGTAAATGGTAATGAGGAGATGGCAGTGGTCTTGGATGGCGAAGGCAAAGTGCTGAAGGCGGTGCTGAAGCAGCTCGACGAGCGGAAAAGAAGGGAGAACGAAGAGAAGCGGAGGAAGGAGAGGGAGGGGAAGATGAAGGACATGGGTGGTTCGAACAGCGCAAGGGGCACGCCGTCCGCCCCGTCAAGCCATACACCGGCGAGGGGCGCGAGTGCATGGAAGGCCAACCAGCACGCTGGCCCGTTGCGTGTGCAACATAAACATTACCAAGACCAGCGGCACGGTGGCTGGCCGCCGCCGTCTGCCAACTTGCCCCCTCCTCCGAACGGGCGGCAGTATTCTGGCGGGTCGCCTATGCCGCCAGGCGCACACCTCAATGGCGTCGCCAATGGTCCGAAGGGTGCGCCTCCGCCCAAACCTCGTAAGGCTGCGTCCGCCTTCACACGCGCCCGTCCAAATGCTATATCCCTGATCTCTTCTTTCCCGCCACAACCTTCGGCGCACTCTGCGACATCACCGGTGCGTTCGCGGGGGCGCCATTGGCCGTCGCTGCCTGATGAGCGTGACGAGGCTTCGCCTTCCATGCAGGGCCCGTCAAGATCTCCGTCCCCAGTCACAAGGAAGCCTGGGTATTCCGCCCGCGACGCGCATCGGAAGGAGCACGAGCAGGTGATGGAAGAGTTGGCGCAAAACGGCTTCGACCACGTCACAATCGACGGACATGGATCCCAGCTTGGTGGTGCGTTCAGAGAAGAAGACGTGAGGCAGTTCTTCGACGGCTTCAAGATTGACAAGGTGAGTCAGGACGTCCCGTTTTGTCAGGTGTTTGCCGGGCAGACCTCGTCCATGTGCTTGTCTTCTGCGCTGCTCTTGTGTCGATTTTCTGATTACAATTCCAGGTCCTACGGGATAATCTAGGCTGGTATGTTACCTTCAAGACCGGTGATTCTGCCCGTCGGGCAGCCATGGTCCTCAACTCAGGCGCACGTACTCTTGCCCACCGTTCCGTGAATGTCACCGTTCGTCCGTCCCCAACGACAACAGTCCCACCGACAAAGGCACGTTGGAATGATGACGAGCTGATCGAGCAAGCGGAGAAAATTATCCTGAAGGAACTACGGGCATCGCTGGAGAAGGATGTCATGGACAGGCTCGTCGGCAGTGACATCAAGCGTCTGGTAGCGGAAGAGAAGGCGAAGAGAGGTACGTCGGGTACGACAGCAAATGGGCAGGTTGTAGAAGGGGGGTTCGACGTGGCCGACCGTGCCTACAGTACAGCAGGTTTGCGCGGTCTTTCCTTTAGGAAACAAAAGAAGCGCCCGTTGGAGGAGACCCAAGTTACATTGCCTCTTGCCGTCGCAGTCGAGGACAATGCAGACGAACCCCTCCCGGAGCCGCCGCGTAAGAAACAAAGGAAGGTTGTCAAGGAGCCCGAGAGTGATCTTGAGCTCGAGTCGGAGGACGAGGATGTGGCAGCGCCCCAGGCTGTTATAAACGAGGACATCGAGTCTGAAGACGAGCCTGAGCCTGCTCCTGCCCCTGTGGTGTCTGTTCTGGAGACAATCTCGCCGCAGAAACGAGCGACCTCTGAAATGAGTGATCTCGAGGAGCCTCCATCGAAGAAGTCCAGGATACAGCCTGATGAAGCGGTTGCGCCGGCTGTCCCATTGCTGACCTCGCAGAAGAAGAAATCGAAGAAATCGTCCAAGAAGAAGCCTCCTCGTCCTACGAAACCCGCTCAGACCGAAGAGGTGGTACACGAGGTGTTGGCGGATGATTTCGATTTCGATATCCCTGCGGTGACCCAGGTCCGTCTGACGCCTACGCCACACTACGACTCTTCTCTCTCGCCTCCCTCGTCTCCTGTCCGTGAAGCAAAGCCGATCACGCCGACGCTTGATGATTCTCAGCCTGTCGATCCAATTGCAGAGGGAATATGCGACGACGACGAGGATGTTTACTTTGCCAAGTTGGCTTTGTCTCGTTCGCTCTTTGGCAAGGACCCTCCTGAAGGCATTCCTCGCGCACCGACGCCAGATCCTGACGCGTTACCTCCTTTCCGTGTTCATGTTACCGGCTCTGCGCGCACAGAAGGTTACTACAAGATCTCGCATGCAGAGAAATCCGCGTACGTCGCTCAATATGCATCGCGTGGCACTGTCAACGAGGCGACCCCAGAGGTCGATCCGCCGCAGCAGAACATCACGTCTTCTCGATCCAATCGTGCGAATGCTCGACGGCGTGCACAGGGCCTTGAAGAGATCAACCAGGTGCAACGTGCCATGGCGTTGTCGAAGGGCGAGTCTGCTGCGACTGAGTTGGTCAAGTTCAATCAATTGCAGACGCGGAAGAAGCACCTGCGTTTCGCACGTTCGCCCATCCACGACTGGGGTCTCTACGCCATGGAGAAGATCTCGCGTGGCGAGATGGTCATCGAATACGTGGGCGAGATCATTCGTGCGCAGGTGGCAGACAAGCGAGAGAAAGCGTACGAGCGGCAAGGTATAGGAAGCAGCTATCTCTTCCGAATCGACGAGGACCTTGTAGTGGACGCCACGAAGAAGGGCAACTTGGGGTATGCTATGTGATTTGCGGCAGTGTATTCAGACTGACTGTTTCTCCTAGCCGCCTGATCAACCACTCCTGCGATCCCAACTGCACGGCGAAGATCATCACGATCAACGGTGAAAAGAAGATTGTTATCTATGCAAAGCAAGATATTGAGCTTGGCAGTGAGATCACCTACGGTGCGTCCGGTGTCCTCTTTCGTGCTGCGTTTCACTGACATGGTCGTTAGATTATCACTTCCCTATTGAGCAAGACAAGATCCCTTGTCTCTGCGGATCAGCAAAATGTCGTGGCTTCCTCAACTAGACTCTGCATGGGATCGGTCAATCTATTGTTGTTGCATACCCTGTTTTGTTGTCGCTGCGTTCCTCCGCGTTTCGCTTTCACCTCTCATCAGCACACCCTCGCCCTGCATAGCTATATATTATTCTCACATGTCATGTTCTCTATCTCTGCAGCGAAATAATCCCATTGTCTCACGGGTCGGTCTCTGTTGTAGCCGTTGTGCGTTAATAGCGAAGATGTCTTCTGGTAATACGACAGTTGTACAGAAAATCAGATTCTCTTCTCCCTCGCATCTCGTAACATTGTCATCTAAATGCATCAAACTTGTTTCCGCTGCAAGGTCTTCGGTAGCTCCTTGACCCACGGCAGGAAGTCGCGACCCTGCATATATGGGCGGAGCACCTCGGGGATGACCAAACCCTATGGATAGTGGGTCAGCAAGGTGAGCTTGCTGCCGCCGAGCCCTACTCACGTCTGGTGTCTGGTAGTTCTCCACGATGCAGCAGAGTGCACGCTCGGTCGCACAGAGCGTGCCGTTCAGCATGTGGACGTAGATTTTGCGCGCCTGATCTTTGGCCTTCAGACCGCACCGCACCTCCAATCTCCGACTCTCTGTACAGCAGCGGATCCGTGAGCCTGCGAATGCGTCACCAGAACCAGATGGACGACTTACGGTAGTCTGTGCAGTTTGAGCAGGACACGAGCTCCTTGTGCGCGCCCTGGAACGGGAACCACGCCTCGAGGTCGTACTTCTGCGCCGCGGCCAGGTTGAGCGCGCCGGAGACGATCGCGACGACACGGTACGGGATACCGAGGCTCTGGTAGAACGCCTCGGACGTGGCGACCATCGCGTCGAACGTCTCCCAGCTCTTCTCGGGCTCGGTCAGGCAGAACTGCTCGATCTTCTCGAACTGGTGCACGCGGAAGATGCCCCACATGTCGCGCCCTGCAGAGCCGGCCTCTTTGCGGAAGCACGTCGAGTAGCCGGCGTACTTGATCGGGAGCTGCGTCTCGGGCGAGTCGAACCACTCGTCAGAGTGGAACGCGGAGATGGGCTGCTCGGAGGTCGCGATGAGGTATTTCTCGTCGTCGGCGGCGATCACCTGGCGGTACGGAGCGGTCAGTGTCTGAAAATAAGTGCTGCGCCGCGACGCACCTTGTACAGCTCCTCGTCAAACTGGTCAAGCTGCGCCGTCTTGGCCATGACATCCTTGTTCATCATGAAGGGTGGCTGGATCTTCTTGTAGCCGCGCTTGCGCAGAAAGTCGAGACCGTATGAAATGAGTGCTTGGTTGAGGTCGATGCCGTCATTCGTGAGGAAGTAACCGCGGTGTCCGCTAATTTTCGCTCCTGACTAAGCTGTGAATCATCTTCGTACATCGCGGCACAGCACAACGCACCTCGCTCGAGGTCCATCGCATCGAGTCTGAGTAAGACTTCATGATGGGGCATGATATCAGTCCTCTTCTCTACCTGCACACCCTCTCCCTTCGGGTGCCATGTGCGCAGAGTCTGATTGTCGTCCTGTGGCACGATCAAGCACAAGGCGGGGTATATTGCTCATGGACGCACCTCCGTGATACTGACTGGCACGTCCTTTCCAACGATGTTCCCAACAGTCGATGCCTTCTGCCGCATCTTTTGCTCGAACTCCTTAGCCTCTAGGCGTTTGGCGATGACCTGAGCATCTATGTCTTTCTTTTGCGCGACGAGCTCATCTGCATTTTCCTTCGCCTGCCCATATATCAAATGTAAGTAACAGTGCACGCGATAGCGGGTCGCAACCACACAGACTTTCTTCTTTGCCGCGATCTCCTTTTGTATCGCATTCACTTGCTTACTGAGCCCGTTGGCGTCAAAGTCCACTACAAGGCCTCTTCAATGATCCTTCTGTAAACTATGTGAGGCTGTACGCACTCTTCACCCAGTCGGCATACATCTGGATGACTTCGTCCACGATCTCGACAGGGAGACCGCGTTTTCGCTGCGACTCGCGGATCTCCTCTGCATTTCCGCCCTTGTTATCAAGAAAGTGCAGGACGTCGAGAGTCATTGCGGCCGGGTATGTCTGCGGGGAGGAAGGCGAGGTAGGTAAGTAGGTAAGTAATATAGATACTAGAATACGGCGTCTGCGAGGTGAAAACAAGTGATCGGGAGAGATTAGATCGAGTCACAGTTCGATCATTACAGCCTCGATCTATTGATCTAAGCAGTCATGAATTATTCGTTAAGTAGTTTAATATGCTATTGACAACACCTGGGACCGCTGCCCAAGAAAATTGGGGATAATTTCTATAACATTCCTCCGTTACACGACCTCCCATAGTAAGTCATTCAGCATAATCCCCACATCTTTCGCGAGCGCGAGTGCTGTCTCATAAGAGATGCCACATTTGTAAGTCGGTGTGGATTCCAGTTTATCAGGAGAGGCGCGAAGCAACAGCCGCATTGACGCGAGCTCCATAATCTGTCGCAGAAAATCGTCAGAAAATCGCTCGTGAGCAGAGTCGACACAATGCTGACTTGGCCGTACACGGCCAGGCGTGAGATCTCCATATCGGTGTATTCGCCCGGCAGAGTGAATTGTGGCGCCAGTGGTCGCGCCTCCGCGTCGTTTTCTTCAAGGAGTACTCCCAAGATAGCGAGCAGTCGATCGAGGGGGAAAGCCGTGGGGCCCAGGAGGTGCTGTGGTATCTGCAACGGCAGTCGATCAACCTGAGAATTGCCGTTATAACTAAAACCCATACTTTGACTCCCGCGCCCGTGCTACCCGCCTTCGGTCTCCTTGGGCCCCCGCCCCTTCTCCGCCGCCGCTTGGCACGCTCGTCGCGACCTCTGCCAAACATCCGCATGTCCGTCTTTGGTGGATTGGTGCTTGCGAGGAACGCCGCAACGAGCACGAACTTCGCAAGTCGGGGCAATGCGTCCACACCGGAACCCAAAGCCCCGTCTACATGCCCTCCAATTCCGGGCCGTAGCCCTGCTGCAAGCGCAGCGAGCATGGCCTCGTCTGGCATGTTGGCGCGTGCCCAGTGCTCCGCGTTGGTGAGGCGAGGGTAGAGCGCCTCGAGCGCCGCGGTGAACGTGGGCGTGAAGATGCGTGTGAGGCGAATGCGCGTGTCTTCTGTGGGCGGGACGATCTCGGAGAGTTCTTCCTCGCCGTCACTCAGGTCACCAGCTTGTCTACTGTTCTTCCGCCCGTCAGCGTTGCAATGTGCCCGTGGTGATGTTCTACCTTGCAGCATGAGGAGCGGCTTGACAAAGCCGGGCCACCGTGCTGCAGCGATGTAGGCCAGCTCGTAGGGGTCGTGGGTGAATGGCGAGCAGATACTGTATAGCGTCTCTAGGAAATGAGAGTAGAGCGGCCGGAGAGCAGGATCATAGGTGTCTTGATGAATGTTTCCAGGCACATAGTTTTGAGTTGGGTAAAGAGACTCCAACATCTCCAGGGTAGCTGTTTGCGAGTAACAATGTTTGAGGCATTGGGACAAGGATTGATTACGAGCATAGCCAACCTTGTTTTGAAATCAGTGGTGCGTCCATGTAGAACGGCTCCGGCGACGCTCCCAGTGATGGACGTATATCTTCCCAGCGGACGTCGGAAATAAATATCGTGACAATGTCTAGTTGCGCCTGGAGGCTGTCTCATCAATACACCTCAGAGAGCTTTATCGAACATATTTCACGTACCAATTCAGCCAGACGAGTCAGGGGGACGACGAGATCTGGCATAGTTTCCCTGAGACGTTCCGCCCGCTCGATCACCAGGACCAGCCTATAGGCTTCATCTCCCTCCGGCTGCATGACTCTCGCCTTCGCTTTTCCTTTCACCTGACCCCTGTCCTGGGAAGAAGATCCATGCACGCTTGCCTGCACCTGCGCATAGACGTCACGCAATCCGTGCACAAACGTGTCCAAGCTCTCGTTCCACCGCTGTCCGTCCGCGCTCGTGCCCGGCCAGTTCTGGCATCCGTCTTCCCAAGTAGGGGTCCAGCGAGCGAGCGCATTGATGACAGAGTCATAGAAGAGACGAGGTGTGAAGCATGCTACGGCATTGCTACAGGCGTATCGCAGATGCACAAGAGGCTCCTGCTCGGAGACTGTTTGCAGCACGGAGCGCACAGCGGAGGCTGCAATCCTTGGAGTCTCTGGATCGTAGAGGTAGATGAACGACGGTGAGTGGGAAGTCAAGAGAAGTTCGAGGTGTGAAGCAAGCGTTTCATATCCAGGCAGTTGCGTCGTGCCGATAGCTCGACTTGTCGAAGCCATGATGAGCACGCGTTCTTGCCGACAGATTTGCCCTTTCTGAAAGAGAGGGAACAACACGAAATATGTGAGCGAGACAAGGCGTTGATCGTGAAGGATAATGATCGGCGTACAACGCGTCGAGGAACGCGTCTGTGGCACGCGTTTGCTAAGTACCCACGTGGGTTCACGCGCCTACTCTTCCATCCGTGCCTCGGCGCTTGGCACTAGTAGTTCAGTGCAACGTCCAGCCTGCTGCAGAGAAATCCAGATGTCGACAGCGAACGGTATTGCAGTGGGGGATGACCCACGAGATTCCACCGCGGAGGCTCCTCTTACATTCCCCGAGACATGGCAGAACGACCAGCTAGGTGCGGCACGGATCTGACACTGTATTGGTTCTGCCGCGTCACTCACATATATCACATCAAGACGGGTTCAATGCTTCCAGTGAGTCCTATAGAGGCTTGCACGAATGTGTTCTTCATGTACTCATGTGTTGCAGTCATGTTTGGTACCGGATTGATCATGGTCACCCGTAATCGGTACGTTTTAGCGGACATTGCGTTCGAGTTCTGGATGGCATTGATTTCTTATATTGTGTGCTCAGGTATCTAGCGTGGCCGTCTCTTGTGTTGTCCATCAATAGTTGGATCAACCAACACTCTCTACGTACCAAGGAAGGCGGCCAGAGCGCAACAACCACTGTACTGTCAGTCGCACTTGAATATCTGCCGCATGCCTTCGACTGACTATATATGACATCGCAGACTGGCCGCAACTGCTCTGCTCACGTCCTACTTGCCATTGTTTATGATTGGGCCGAAACAAAGGCAGACAGCCTTGCCCCTCACAAGCCCATAGAATGCATTGACTGCCAAGTGCAACTGTAGAGATTTTTATCCTTGTAGTAGTCAGGTTCTAGCGTCGTCCTTCAAGATGCTGGTGACACTTGTGTTTAGCGAGATCAGCTGGAAGACTCGTTTACCCGAGCCATATCATAATGAACATGTCCCGTATGCGCGTCCAACTGAGGAACGCTCCTGCCTATGGCAGTCCCAACAACCATCTGGAACGTCCGATGTGTGCATAGTGCGCTGCAGACCCTTGTCCCCGCTTTTCATCGTAGCTTGACGTTCTGGAATATACACGGTTCCGCCGTTGCTGCTGACAGCTTGTGCCAAAAGCATTGGATGAGGCATGCTTGAGCCGTGCATCACGCCTGTGGTGGTGCAAACGGATCCTCCATCGACTGGTCCATCAGCGGACCACCCAGTAACTCATCGCTTGACTGCAGCTGTGACAGATCCTGTGCGCCCTCAAATGCCTCGCCGTCCGGGCCCATCTGCGACATGTCCAGTGACATGTCCGGATCAAGGTTAGCCGCGCCCACCACAACCTGCAGGTCTCCAGCCGGCTTGAGTGCATCATCGAGCGCGTCGTCTGTGACGGGGGTAGGGGATGGTGGCTGGAAGGATATGGAGAGTGGATGTGGCTTGGGCGAGGCGGGCTTGAGAGGTTCTTCTTTGCCGTCGAACTGCACTGGCTCGGAGACGTCGCGCGAAGCTGGTGTGGTCTCTGGTGCGGCGGAGGTAGCGACCTCGTCCTGGTCCATCTCCTCGTCGCCGTCCACGACCTCCACCTCGTCGGGTTCTGGTAGAGGCACGAGGGGCTGGTCTGTCTCGGCCTCCTCTTCATCGCTGAATGTCTGCTGGGCTTCAGCATTCCTCGTATAGGCATCGAGCTTGGGAACACAATACCTGTTTCTTGTCCGTCTTGACCCATTTATATATCCTCAAAGTCGAGCCTGGCGGTGCGCCATCCGGCGCGGCCCAGACTTTTTCCCAGCAAGGTACAGGCTGCATGAGTTGTCTCCGAGATGCCTCCACGGCCGAGTTGGCGAATCCCACTCTCCTTCGCGTTGACATGGTGGAGACACAGATATGGCTTGCAAGAAAGTGTGGTGGCGGAGGTAGTGGTCGCTGTTAAACGCGATGCCGTGACCGCGTTAGACGCGCATCGTTATCCTCAGCCACATTGCCTGACTTCCTACCACCGCGAGCAGTGACTAGTGATTTCCTGAGTGCTCACCCCTTGCCACAAATCCTATCAAGTCCAAGGATATACACAAATGGAGGAAGAAGAGACTGAGCTTCGCAATCCATTTCCGTCACCGCCGTCGCATCACACGAAATACACGACGCGCAACCTTCAATTGCTCGAGCTGCTCCGTGACCGTGCTGCAGGCGCAGATATCTCGACGGTGAACCAGTATGAACTACTCTCTGACCAAACAGACGTGCCAGAGTGGCCTATGGTGCAACTCGAGAAGCCCAGGGTAGATTGGATACTGGAGGAGGGACAGTACACCGTCTTCGGGGATACCTGGTTTGTGCGTACCTTCGGAAAGAGTTGTTCCATAGTGCTCATCTTCTATATGCTCACATAGATAAAAGAGCAAATCCCGTCACTGAAAGAGCTCGGGGGGCACCAGCTCTACCCAGAAGATCCCAGCGAGGGTGCGTGTTCTGTCGCCCTGTCAAACGCCGCAGGAGGCATCCTGACATGCTTTGTAAAGACCGCCGGCCGGCGCTGCGCAAGATTCTGCATTCGCTGCTCGTGACATACTCGCATCTCGTGGACTCTCTTCTGGCTCCTCCACCTACAGCCTCGACGACGGTACAGCCCGAATGGCAGAGACAGCTCGAATGGATCACTGTTCTCGCGCAGAACATCATGGCGGCCGCGAACGACCTACGGCCTGTCCAGGTACGCCGTGTTATTCTTAGTGAATCTGAATGGAGCTAAATATATTGCGGGACAGGCGAGGGTCAACCTGGAACTTATGATGAAGCGGCAGCTCGAGCTCCGGAGGGAGGAAACGAGGGCCATTCACGAGTGAGCATTGACCTCCCGTGGCCGCTCATGTGAGCTGAGGGTCGTGCAACCACAGGAAGTGTGACTCCTTGGAAGCCAAGCTGGCCGAAATGAGCTCAGCAGTCCGAACCCTGTCAAACGATACGCGAACAAATAATTCTGACCGGAACGGACCTGCTCATGAGGTACGTTCCCCTTTACAGCTGTGATCCCGCTGACCTTGTTCGATGCTAGTTGGACAGTCGCACAGTGTCTTCAACTGAGGACGTACTGCGCTGGGCTGAGGAAATTGGCTGATCATGTGCGGCGCCACAGCCACTACCAACGAATGGTATATTGACGCTCGCCGTGAAACTGGCGCTTCTCGGCATACAAGCGGCCAGCCTCTATTGTCTCGCCAGGAACTTAGGGATCTGTGATCGGCCGATGATACTTCAGGCTCAACCGTCCCGCACTACATAGTGTCCGCCCAAGTGTACGATGTGATCATGTAGAAATCTCGCACTTCTGTATTGACCGTGCCTGAGACATGACTGTGGGTTCTCCGCTGTGCCAACACGCCGTTTGATTCTGTTCTACGAGACATTCCGCCGGAATCCGCCTTACTCAAATCCCCTACTGACGTTCGAGGGCAAGCTACCTGTAGGCGAGCTTAAAATAGCCTTATCTACATGAGTACGTGCGAGTAGTCCATGCGTACGTCGGCCCGCTCATGTTCTGTAATCGTTTGTGGGCACCAACTCACCGGTCGCTTTCTCCTTCAAGTGATCAGCAGATGCACGGTATGCTACAGCTCGCAATGCCTCAACTTGATTCTATGACATCCATTGTTCATTTTCTGTCTGGCCACAAAATGAGCTATCCAGCACTTACGGATTGTGCGTTGTTGATGGGTATCAAAACCGCGTCGCCCCAACTCTAGCATGATCTCGGACTTCCGTCAATGATCTTGTGAATACACCTAGATAATGGCGACTGATGCACCCACACCGAGGCTCCGATGGTTTTATGCGGGATGTATAGAACCCGTGAATGTGCTTGGGTATGTACGCGAAGGCTGCAAGATCGATCGAAAGAGGACAGGCAAGAGGGAACATCCAGGCACGATCTCTATATGTGTGTGTTCTTCACACCGCGATACTGTGCGCATTGCGCACCACATAGCTTCCTTGCTGCGGATTGAATTGGCTACCGGTAAGCACCCGTCTCTTCTTCGCACTTCAGGGAAAGCTGTCTGATGTCCCTCAGGCCGCGTGTGTTGCTCAGATTGACCATGCAGAAAACCCTGCAAAGGTGAATACAAGGTGAAATGATATGCAGATTACCACGTCCAACACCGAGATCGATTGTGCATAGTTCACATGCCAGACGAGACAAGCCCCTGGACCAAATTGGCAGAACATGGCCCACAACATAGTGGGGTACCCTCATGAACCGTCATAATGTATGTTACCTCCTCCCTGTTTTTCTCAACTTTGAAATTCTCACAAGCCTGCAGAATCCAAGTGAAAGCATTATATACAAGGTTGTGCATGGAGATTGCTATCAAACGACTCTCACCCCCCCCCTCCCCCCAACATGGTATTGAGTTTCCTGCTTTAGTCGAACGGTGGACGAAAGTGCCTGAGATTTCGATGGCGTTATTGATGTGGCTATAGCTACTTTGTACAGTGACGCTCTGCATTTGACACGATCGAAGCTGCTTTGAGAATTCACACAGTCGAGCATAGCCGCCGTAGCAGCTCTCTTTGACTGACTTCGCCCGGCCTCCAGGGCATACCTCCCGAGAATTTGATATTTCACGGGGATCCTCCGAACAGCTTCCCGTTCGATTTGTCTTATCGTATCTATGAAAAGCCCTGAAGGTTCTCAGCCTGTCCTCTCGGACTTTCTTCCGAACGACTGCGGAAAAGCAACAGACGACAACGACCAGCGTACTTCACGCTGTGACGCCATGACGAAGGTGTCACCTGCTGCTGGTGCGTTAAAGTTAACCATGAAGCAGCCTCATGCACTCTATACGTGTATAAAAGGAACGGCATGGACCGGCTCCCTTGACTCTTGCCCAGGCGTGGTATCTGCCCATCATGCTCGCTCGTCTCTCTGTGGTCCTGCTCAGCGCGTTGGCCGCGACGGCGAGCCCTATGCTCGTCCGCGACAGTGCCCCCATCTCTGTCCCCTTTACGCGCCGGCTCAACTTGGCTAGCGGGGCTAAGCTGCCCGAGTTGGACCGCGTGAGGATCAAGTCTCTGGCGGCTGGTTGCCCGGGAGGAGCTTCTTGCGACTCTTCGATTCGGAGTGCCGCAGCCACATTGTTCAGTGTCGGCGCCACCAATGGTGCTGTAGAATATACCGTCGAGGTAAGCACATCGTTGTGTTCGGTCAGATCGTGCCACTAACATACGGGCAGGTTGGCATCGGCAATCCGGCAACAACCTGTAAATCGCTAACCGGATCTTGGTGATGCACTACTGAATGTCTGAATGTGTATCCTTCCTGTAGACACTCTCATCGTCGATACGGGTAGTTCCAACACGTGGGTTGGCGCTGATCAGGCGTACGTCGTAACGAGCACTTCAGAGGACACAGGGGAAAGTGTCGTACGTACACATGAATACATGTGCCGTGTGGGGGAGCTGATTGCCATCCAAAGTCTGTCGATTATGGCTCGGGTTCCTTCTCAGGTATGTGAGACTTAGAAGGGTGGTTCTATGATGTGAATATCAGTCTACAGGTGAGGAATATACTGACACCGTAACGATTGCCTCTGGGTACTCTATCACGGGTCAATCCATTGGCGTTGCATCTACCTCCGAGGGTTTCTCGGGAGTTGACGGTATTCTGGGGTGAGCCTATGCGCAATTCTGTGTGCGTGAGTCATGTTGCTTAACTGATGCTCATAGTATCGGTCCCGAAGATCTCACCTGTGGTTGGTTCTATTGTCAAATCTAAACATTTTTATCCCTAATTAGCCCGTAGGTACTCTCAGTGACGAGGATGCATGCATTCCGACGGTCACCCAGAACGCCTACTCGCAGGGTCTGATCAGCGTTGAGGAAGTCGGCATATCATTCGAGCCCACGACTTCCGCATCGGACACGAACGGAGAACTGACCTTTGGTGGCACCGACTCGAGCAAGTATAACGGAACTATCACCTATACGTGAGGACTCTCAACCTGCCTCGGCTACCACCGCTTACCATTATAAATACTTCTGTAGGGCTATCACCTCAACGACCCCCGCAGGCGACTACGTGGGTGTCACGCAGACCATCGCGTACGGTTCGGAGAGCATTATGTCCTCTGCGGCTGGAATAGTCGACACCGGTACCACCTTAGTCTACATTCCGAGCTGTCAGTTGAACATCATGCGTTACGGTATCCGACGCTAATATCCTATGTAGCCGCATATGACAAATACCAGAAGGCCACTGGAGCGACCTACGACGACGATACTGGCCTCCTCCGCATCACGACCGCGCAATACGACAAACTCGATAGCGTGTACTTCGATATCGGTGGCGTAAGTGAACTCCTTCATTATGTCTGGCTGGTGCTGAGATACCTTTCCGCGCTTAGACTTCATACGAATTCACCGCGAATGCGCAGATCTGGCCCCGCTCTGTGAGTCGAACACAATACGACAACGTGCTCTCACTAACCACCGCATTTAGCTGAACGAGGATATCGGCGGGAGCTCCGACTATGTGTACCTCGTCATCAATGACCTCGGTGACGATGCAGAGACCGGGTTCGACTTCATCAACGGCATGACCTTCCTCGAGCGGTATTACTTCGTCTACAACTCTGGAAGTAATGAGGTCGGCTTCGCACCTACCTCGTACACCTACGCTACAACGAATTAGAACCCTCGCTTCGGCCGTCGCTCAGAGGCGCGTATGTGTCATCACAATGGTGGGGGGATGAGCGGCTGTATGACGAGGACTGTCTAGGACGAACACTTGTACTGACGGCAGTATAAATGACAATGACTGGATGACTTTTATCTATACAAATGTATCCCTTTCTGGCCATCGGCACACATTGTGATATAGCTGTTCGGGCTGAATCATGTTATTAAACCTACGAGGATCTCGAGCGGGCTTGTCACTGTCGACTAACTCGAGATGATATTCGCAACGTTCACAGGCCAACGTAGACGTACCGACTGAATTTCGGTCCTGGGGCAGGATGGGGAGGGTGCTCGGACACCCTGCCAGGATAGAGGCAGCCGAGTCCATCACGCTCTCGCCAGATCTTCGGATCCTGTGTCTTGATCTATGAGGGCATTGTGCCAGTCTGCGGTACGTGAGCACAGCATTTCGTGTCCGGATTGCCCAGGCCCTGCGCTACACTGGCGTCATGCACAAATTGCGTCGTCTACGTCTCGACGTCCCACTGCACGCTCTGCACCGCATACAGAAGAGTGCCTACGTCAGCGGGCGGATCGATCTCCTCACCGGCTGCTTGCGTGCACAGATCCGAAGGCAACTGCCGCGAAGATGTGTACTTACGCATGACGGAGAAGTAGCAGCGACAGTGGGGCTTCATCTGTGTCTGCAGGGAGGTCTGGTAGCGCGTCAGGCAGAACGGGGAATGACGCGAAAATTGGCAAGAGCTGTAGAGGCCCCAGTATAAGCGCGGGCAGCACCATTACACCTGCAGTTCCCCCCGATGCGGCGTGACGGCATCATGTAGTGCATGAAGGGCGCTCGCGCTCGGATGACGTGAATCGACAAATTGACAGTGTCAATTTATTTCAAACAAAATCCCAGGCCAATGCGAAGGCGGCAGAACATCTGAGATGCGCCTGTGGAGACGTCGAACGCTCGGAAGTGTCAGATGGCTGGAGTGGGAAGCTAGGGAGACAGTCGTGCATCACCTAGGCTAGCGAGCATCTTCATTTATGATTCGGTGACAACACAGGCAGAGCGGAGACGTCCCGTACGTACGCCCAGACGTTCTCGAGTGCATCACTCTTTTGGGTATGAGAAGGAAAGACTCGGAGCGCCAAGACAAGGGAAAGAAAGTTTGCACCCATGCGCGTGGAGATCGCCCGACTCCGAAGAGGACCCCCGAATATAGGGGGGGAACCCTGATCCCAATTTCTCAAAAGTTGGTCGATTTGTACGGCAGAAATTTCCGATTTTCGGGCTGATATGTCCGGAAAAAATCTGGCTGCGGCCTGATTTAGGCAAACATGTCCGGAATTCGTATCTTTTTGGACCAGGGTGTTGAAAATCGGCAAATGGTGGATCAGGGTTCCCAGAAACACAATTTCGCTCCCGACTTCAATTCTGACATCGTAATGTGGACTGGACACTCGTACTTGTGCTATGTAGCTTCGCAATATGAACTCTGTTCAAGCACCTTTGTCCCCTGGACCTGTGTGATTTTAGAGGTGGCTGCTTTCTTTGTCTTCTTGCGCGCAGCACCAAGCATTTTCACTGCCGTAGTATGAGATAGGCAGCTTGAGGTGCTCAGAAAAAGTGGCATTGTCAAGTTTGAGAATGTGCTCATCTGTAGTTATGTGATGTGAACTATATAGATGGCAAAAAAAAACAATCTGATGAAATGTGCACAAATGAGAGGCACTTAGAATACCGGCCGCTAATGATCCCACATTTTGAGACTATAAGTAGACATGTACAGGGTGCAGAAATACTGACATTTAATATATTATCCTCGAGTGTGACATGACACGACATCGTGGGATTGTTTGCATGCATGTCACATGATGGTGGACATGCAAACCTGGCCAAGCATAAGCACGGAGCAGGCTTGTCCGTCTTCACATCTGCAAACGATGTTTTCTTTTGGTAGAAACCTTGTTTCTACATAGCACTCTGTAGAAACCCGTAATCTATATACTACTCTGTAGATAGCGCGATCTATGTAGGTCTACATAGGTCTCTGTAGAAATTGCGTGTCTACGGCAGCGAGGCGGCTAATGGAGTCACTCAATATGGCAATCTGCCATGTGATCCAACACCATGGTCCATGCGGTCCACGCGGTTTTGATTTGATCAGAAATGTTCAGAACGAACTGATTGTATCGCATCTTCACTTCATGAAACGGTTGTTTCTACATAGTACTTAGTAGGTCCTCGTAGTCTCAGTAGGCCCTCGTAGTCTCAGTAGGTCCTCATAGTCTCATATAGGAAGCTCCGGTGCCATATGGTCGACAGCGCCATGGACAATAAAGTGCTGACTCCAAGTCAGATGTGTCTTCGTTCTTCTGCCCCGTCCACTGCCATTGAGTGGGACTTCGTAAGTAGTCCCTTCCGCATAGAATTGCACGCTACGGAACATCTATGTCAGGAGGATACTAGGGTAAGTCGTGGATTGATGTGTCTAGATACCACCATAGCTAATGCACCTGCCAGCTGCTCCACAGTACCAATATCGTGCGGCGCAGGCTAAGTGGAAGGCGGTAGTAATGTCATATTTCCCTAAGGTTCCGTGCCGCATTTGGCTTGTATCTATGGCGCAGGGGAGTACACACCATAGCTTGCGCGGTGGTAGTCTCAATGTCGCAGCTTCTATAGATTACAGCTAGTGTGTATTTTTGTATGCGGAGGCATGTAGTAGTACGATTCTGCTAGTCGCTCACAGCTTGTAATTACAATCATTATTATTACCAATAAGAATGCAAATCTAAATTTATGCCCTGTGAGACCCAAAGAATCCGATAATGATGATCAATTGATTGAAGGACAGTGACTACTGGTGCTATGGAGCCTACGAGCCTCGCGGTCTATGGTGCTACATAGCACTTTGCGAGATCAGGCGCATCTACATAGCACTACATAATCGGGGGGAAGTCTATCGCTCTATGCGGTCTACAGGACCTACATAGAGCTATGTAGGTTCGGGCATTTTTCCTGATGCAGATCAGGCTTCCAGCATTGGCTGGAGTATGTCTGGAAATTGTACCAGGGATGAGGGTTATGACAGACTGGTTTTGTTTGGGAAAAGATCAGGGATCAGGGTCCAAAATTGCCCAGATTTGTCCAGAATGGGATCATGGTTCCTCCCCAATATTTGGGGGTCCTCTCCGGATGTCACGAGTTGGTACGGCGTCTAGCCGTTTTTTAATTTTTTCCTTTTTGCGGGCTCGAACCCGCGACCTCTGTACTATATGCCCGATATGGACGCGTCGTTATCTACTGTACAATCAGATTAGATAGGACAGCAGTGCACGGCACAGCTCAGGCTCCGCTGACACAGCCTGTCGCGACTTGAGGTCAAGCGACAGGGAAATATCTAGAAGCGAGGGGCGTCCGACTGGTTCTCACCGAAGCGATGGTGAGCGAGGCTCAAACCTAAGGCTAGGGACAAGATAGTATATTAGTTAAGTAAGCAAAGAGAATACAACTGGGGGCTTACTGACCTAGGGACAAGAGGTCGAAACTGAGGTCCCTAGGGCAGCAGAGGCCAGCTTATATACATGGGGAGATTAGGGCAGGCTGTGCACGTTGGTCCGTGCGCAGCATGCCGACGCGGCCCCGGGGGCCGGTGAGTTAGAGCGGCTGTGTCAGCGGAGCCCGAGCTGTGCCGCGCACTGCCGCCCATCTAATCTAATCGTACAGTAGATAACGACGCGTCCATATCAGGCAGGTGGTACAGAGGTCGCGGGTTCGAGCCCGCGAAAAGGAAAAAATTAAAAAACGGCTAGACACCGTACCAACTCGT